CTCAAACATATGACTCAAAGGGTCCTGTAGGAGGCTGAAAGCAGACAGAGACATTCTCCTTTGGAGCTTCCCCTGACACCACAGCTTCAGCCTGGTAACACTGACTTGGGTCCTCGACCTACTGAAGTATAAGAGAATAAATATGTGTCATTTTAAGCCACTGAATTTGTGGTAGTTTTTAATAGTAACCATAGGACACTGAAACACCTGCCATGTCAGTCGATGAACATAAACACACACATGCACATTCACCCTAACATAAACAAGTATCTTTATAGACCTAAATGCATGTTTGATTTCTGCCCTGTGACCATCTCCCAGATAAAGCCTTTGGAAAGCAGTGTGTGAAAAACTCATGTAAATATCTTGTACTCATTCCAGATTCACTCCACACTTTCTCTAACCACTTCTCCATCCAGGCAATACAAATTGACTCAGGTGTTCTCTGGCTTCGGGCTTGGTTCTATTCATGGTGCATACCAGTGGTCAACACAGAAACTTGGAAAGTGACGCTTGATTATAATTTCCCCCCAGCTTCCAATCTGACCAAAGGGTTGCAACTGCAGACCAGAGTCTAAGTCTCCAAGGGACTGTCACCAAACAGCAGCATCTTTCACATATCTGTAAGCATTCTTTTCTTTCCCCTTCAATCCCAAAAGGAAATGCTCCTCCCATACTCCTACCTCTGTGTCCTCCACACTATCCTATGTGATGTCTTTATAGTACTTTGCACATGCAAAGATTTGTAGATTCTTATATTCTGTTCTGCTGGAAACCCCATTGATTCAGTTGTGCAGTATGGCCAGAAGTTAGACTGGAGCCACAGAAATAGCAAAAAAAGAAAAGAAAAGTGAGGACAGAAGCAGAAGAATCTCTGTGACAATATGCAGGACTATTGATTGAGGAAATAACAGTGGGATGGGAAACTCAGCAGTACTTTTGTGGCCAGATGATATTAAGAATTGTTGCCATATTCCCAAATCTATCCCCTCAGGGGAAAAAGAAAACATAGTCCTGTGTAATCATCTTATATGGTGCATTCTCCCAGAAGTATATTTTATGGGTACAAGTATTTTACTAGAGAGCAAGTCTCTGGAGGCACCAGTAAGAAAGAGGAGGAAAGGCAGCCAACAAAGGGTTGTTGTGATGGGTAACACAATCCACTGGGAGCTCAGGAAGTCAGTAGAGAACACATGCTTCAGAATTTTCCCACTGAGCGATGATGGAGAAGGAGGAGCTTTGCAGCAATTCCCATATGTCATTGGCTGGCAGATGCTCCTGAGGGGCAGGAACGCCCCAGGCCTCCAGCTGTGGCGGAAGTCTCAGCCAACACTGTATGGGCACAGGCAAAGAGCAGAGGGCGGGCAGTGAGGCCACTGGTGTGCACTGTGAAGAGAAAGCCCAAAGGGGGCGTGTGGGGAATCAACACAGTACATTCCACTCTCCCACTTAGTACAGCACCAAAGAAAGCAGAGTCTCTAAATTGATTGAGATTGTTTCTACCACCTAAATGAACAGGGGCTCGAAAAGGAAATGCATATGACTTACAGGCCAAAGAGAGTGAATTTCTTATGCATCTGGCAGAGTTTATATATAGATGGAGAATTCCACGCAGTCAACTACAGAAAGCAGAAATCCACTAAAGCAAGCACAAACATCAAAGGAGACTTAGTTATAGGCACAAGGAACCGCTTATGGAAATTAAGGGCTGGAAGCTGGACTTTCTCAGAGCTTGGCTGTAAAGAAAAATCTATGAGAGGAAAAGGTAGCTAACTGCTCATCCCAAATGTGTGCTGGGTTCCAGTCTCTGAGGCTACCAAGCTTTGGCCTCACCTTTGCTCAACGCCTCTGCTGCTCTTTCTCCCCCCGCACCCCGCCTCTCCTCTTCTCTTCTCCTCGTCCATCTTGTTTTCTCTCTCTTTCCCTTCTCCCCTCCAGATGTCTGCACTCTGCCTTTTCGTGACACCCAAAAGAGCAACCCCATGTGTGTTAAACAAAGCCCTAAACTGGTCCCGAAGATCCTTCATCCCCTAGTGTCCACAGAGCCCAGGCCAAGGAAAAAAAAGTAGGCCAACATTTTGATCTTAGCATCCTGAGGCCACAAGTGGAGAACCCAGTAGCAGAGCCAGACCAACAGAAATGGTAGCTAATCAATGTGTATTTTCTCCACCTGCTAAATCTGGGATAGCCTGTCAAACAATAATGGACTCTGTATGCCATTTCTATGTCCACACAATCTCCCAATTCAAATATCCAACTCCACGTAACTATAATATCTTTGTCTCCAATGGCTAGTGAGCCCATCCCTGCTCTCCACTGCTCACTTGGCCATGGTTGAGGACATGCAATCTCGGGCAAGGGTACAGAAACAAGCAGGCAGTGCCTGGGTGTCTGCCACTGTCGTTCCCACTTGATTGTGGTGGCTTCCTATTAGTCTATATCCTGCTCCACACTCTGCATCTCCTCTTCTCTAACTAGCTCAGGAGGGCAAAAGGGCCATTTGGTGCAGTAAGGCAAGCACTATTTTATGGGACACAAGGAGTTAGGTGCTAAGCTATTTATTTACTGTGTGAGCCTAGGCAAGTCACTTAACCTTTCAAGACCTCTTTGCTCATTTTGGGTAAAGAGGGAGTTGCGCTCGTATGTGTTTAAGAGACAAATTCTCACTGTGATGCCTAGGTCAACCTTGAACTCTTGTGCTCAAGCAATCCTCCTGTCTTAGCCTCCCAAGTAGCAGGGAATATAGGTGTGTGTACACCATGATATCTGACTCTCTTTCCTAATTTATGATATGAGAATAACATACCTAGCATGCAGAGCTATTGTGAGAACTAAATGAGAGGAAATAAGTAAGGTCCTTTGTGGGTTCGATATATATTCATTTCCTTCTGTGTTTTGTTTTGCTGTGTTAGGGATTGATCTCAGGGTTTTAGACATGCGACACAAGCACTCAACTACTAAGCCATACCTTTAGCCCTGTCATTTGTTTTTAAAAATCTGTTTGCCACACACCATAGCAGCTGGCACAACCATGAAAGCTCATTGCTGCATTTACTTTTTAAAAAAGCTACACACTAGTTATCTGATTGATGAGAAGGAGTAGAGCTGCCAATAGCATAGAAGTAATCCAATTATCACACGGAGCAGCGATGACAGACTAGTAACAAGTTCTCTGGATTTGAGTTGGCCAACAATTTAATAATGAATAACATGATCATAGCACCAAGGCATTAATTGCTAGCATCCAGAACTGTGCTAGGCACTATGCTGACAGCCTCTTGGTGTAACTCATTCAACACTTAACGAGGACCTTCCATCATGAGGGGATGTTAATCCAGAGAGCTGAAATGTCTTGTGCCAACTCACAAGAGGCAAGGTCAAAATTCAGCCATCAGTGTATGTCATTTCAAATTCCAAAGCTTTTTAAATACTCCGCTTCAAATCTCCAAGAATGGGGTATCACTCTTTTGGAAACAGAATTCAAGTCAGTGGAAACACTTAAACCCATGGATCCTGAAACAGAATGATAAGATACAGCTCCTTTCATTGCCTTCTGGGCTCTGTTCAAATATTTAAATTCCCAAGAAGTGTTTTTTTAAATTACAGAATAAGAAAAATATTCCAGAAAAGAAAGTGGGCTTATGTCTGCCAAGTCAAAAGTAGCTATTGAAAATAGAGCCCAAAGCAATTTCATTCCCCTACCTAGAGGAATACTCCATCAGTGAAGTTTTCCAAACAATTATTGCTTGGTTTTCAGTTGTTCAGAAAATTAAGACAAAATGAGAAGACTACTATTCCCTGTACTCAGAGCCAAGGGTCTCTGTTGTTTGTTTTTTAAGCTGAGTTGAGTCCTCTCCAGTGGCCAAAACTTACGTACACTGCTTGAGATATCAGAGAAATTCCTGTCTTCGTGACAAACATTACCACCTTTGGGAAGCTGGCATTGTTATCTTCATTCTGCATCCCAGACAGGGTGTCAGGCCCTCACCTCGCCACTCCGCAGAGCTAGCCCAGCTGCCAGGAATACTCCAAGGCACACTGTGATGGTTTTAATAAGCCTGTCCATTCCCCAGTTAAGACTCAGCCATTATGGCTCAAGCCTTTTAAAACCAGCTCGAAGTTCACCTTGGTACAGCTTCCATTCTTGTCGGACACTTCCTCCTGGCTCTTCAGACTTAGTAAAAAGGACTGAGCCCTGGTGGGAAATGCCCGCCTGTCATTGCTTTCCTTCTGGATTGCGGATGCAGTGTGGCACAGGAATGCCCTGGGTCTGGACTACTTGGGCCATTTTAATACACAGCAGTATCAGGAAAAACTAAAGGTGATTCTTTACCACAGCCTCCAGGCCGTTGTCTCTTAGGGTTTGGGGGACCTGTGGAAATCACAGAACAATATGCAAAGGCCCATGGTCTTATCTGCTTATATGGATGTCTGACTTGTGTTTCCAACCCCTAAGTTCCATTCTAGACAGATGTCACTTCTTCCCTCTAGGGCCTTGAGTCTGGCTCAGCAGGGAACAATATGCTTTCTGTACTTGTTGTTGCCAATGGACTGTACAGTTTATCATGTTATCAGAGACCCCTGATAATAAAGCTTGTGGGTACAAATTGGGTCAGAAAAATCCTGTATGTAGGAGAACGTTATTTAAGGTGTGGTCCATTAATTATTCAATGCCAGCCTCCCACGAGGAGATGAACAAATGAAAATCAGCATTCAAAAGTCTCCACTGTTATTTGGCAGTACTGGGACATTTTACAGAAGTATCATTTCACAACTGATTGAAATTAAGAAGTACTTTTTTAAAGTCAGAGTTTGAGAAGCACTGGCATAGAAGACATGGTGGAAAGAGGAGGGAGAGCAGGAGAGAAATGCAATAAAGGAAGAAAAGAGGCACAGAGAAGGTAAACATCATTGGAATAACAGAAATAAAAATAATAATCTCTGTATAAGTATTTATAACATGCAATTTATCATTACCTAAATTACATTCCTGGGTCCTTCCCTGTGTCCTCCAAGATCTCTCTCCTGTTCCTCAAACACTCCAAGCATGTGTCTATGTCTTCCTTCTGTTCTCTTCTTTCCCTGGTGTGCTTCCCTGCACTGGATTTTTTTTCACATGTCACCTCTCTGGTCAACCACTTTAGAATGTTTACCTCTGCCCAGCTCCATGCCCCTGTGAAGCATAAAACAATACAAGGCTATTTTATTCATGCATTGATGTACTCTTTGTGGTCAATTTCTCCTCTTAAACTCATGAAGAATAAGTATACTGAGCTGGGAGTGGTGGCGTAAGCCTATAATGCCAGCTTCTTTGGGGGCTGCTCAGGAGGATCTCAAGTTTGAAGCCTGAATGGGCAACTTAGCAAGATGCTCTCTCAAAACAAAAAGTTAAAAAGAGTTGAGGACTACCTCAGTGGTAGAGAACTAGCATACTCAGGACCATGGTGCCACCAAATAGGAAAAAAAACTCCCACGGTTAAAATAGTGCCTTATATAGGGATGAATGGATGAGTGAGTAATACGTGAATAAATTACACAGATATTTTTGTTTACATTCGAAATGCAAAGTAAATAAGAGTTTTAGGATTTTTCCCTGAAGAACTTTAGGGTCTTTCCCAAAAATATACACACAGTTCCTCAGAGTTCCAAATGAGATTCTGGACTCCAAAAACAGTGCTCCTTCTATGACACGACCAGATGTTGAAATTTCTGGAGAAAGCCAACAGAATGTGTGATATCCAGTGTGAAAACTCACAGAAGTTGCATTATGTTGCAGCCTACCTCTGCAATTCTAGACAAGAATCCTTTTGAAATGAAAGAAAAAAGCACTCAAAAGCTAGGAGGTTGAGTGAGGGTTCTGCTTTCAGCTGAGGTGACAGCTAACCCTTTATTCCCTTGTCCTACCACATGATCCCTTAAATCCACTTCTTATTACTGTAACAGTGTGGAAAAAGTAAGGACTTTAGCGGTGGGCACACCGGAGTTCAAATCCTGAATTTTGTTTACTCTTGCTTGGGCAAGCTCCTATATCCCTCTCCTCTTCAGTTGCTTTATCTCCTCTGTATAATTCCATTTTTGATTACTGTAATGAAGTGCCTGAGACAAGGTAACTTTATTTTTAAAGAGGCTTATTCAGCTTGCAGTTTTGGAGGCTAAATGCCCAAACAGCAGGCCCGTGCAGGCTCTCACGAAGGCCCCCTTAGTCATCACCTCATGGTGTGTGGCAAGGGTGGGACTACTACTGGGAGCAAGAGGTCACATCGTAAAAGAGAAAGACAGGAGAGCTGCGTTCCCACATTCCCTCATGGGGCCATGCCTTCAATCAGCCTAAGAATTTACCATTGGGCTCCACCTCTTAAAGATCCCACAACCTCTATACCATCACCATACTGAAGATTGAGCTATCAACCCATGAACCCTGGGGGTAAAAACACACCTAAACCATAGCATTCCTTTTGCAGGGCATGTGTGATGATTAGCCAAGACAACATAGGCAAAGTGCCCACCAGGAACAGTCAACCGGAACAAGTCTTTCTCATTTTCCTGTTGATATATCCTTTAACATCAGTTAATTATGTTGGTGCTGAGTGGAAGTGAAAGTGAGTACAAAAGAAGTAAAGATTTACAAGACACACAAGGTACTTAAATCCTAAACTAGTTGGTATAAAGTAGCCCTACTATCTCTAGACACCACAGCCAATATCGCACAGGCTCCAGTTGCCCCTTGAACCAGATATATGTTGCTGTTATATAACTTCACCAACCAAGTCTAGTCTGACTTTTTTCCCAGTTGGTGACAGCCTGATATCCAGTGCATAAATCCAATATTGCATATCTTGTGCATAACTGTTTTAAAGGATTTTATTTTTGTGTAATATATATGTGTGTGTGTGTGTGTATATATATATTATCAGAGTACACTATATATAAATATATCAGTAGTGTACACTGCCATATAATGTAAAAAGGAAACATCTATCTATGAACAATACAGTCAACTAAGTTTCACACCAACTATCACACCAAATAAACCTTGAACAGAGAAAGAAAAAAGAATTATCACAGAGGGTATTGAAGACCCTCCAGCTAACACTATCTTGTGAATGAGGTCTTCACATATACACTCTGTGGCCAGTCTCTATTATCAAACGAAATGGCTAAGAGAGTGCTGATTAGATTGACCTTTATTTGCAAAAACGAGTAACTGGTAGCTTCCAATGCTAAAATACAATTGTAAGAACAAGTGGTGTTCTTGAAAACTGAACTCTCAATTTCTTTTCTTCTACTTCTTTTTTCCTCTAGCTTTGGAAGACTATGAGCTTTGGAGACAGATAGACAAGGATTCAAATCCCAGGCCTGATGTTTCATGGCAAATTACTTCATATGTTTGAACCTCAGTTTTCAGTCTGTAAAATGAATATAACCCTTCTTACCTTGAGGCATTCTTGGTGAACCAAATGATATACTGCAAAAAGTAGAAGGTGCTCCATACACAGGAGTTTTCATTCCTTTTCCAAACTCTTGATTGTAATCACAAGAGGAACACAGGCATGACAGTGAGGTCTTCTTCGCAAAAGACAGTGCAGGGAACATAGTAGGCACTCAAAAAATATTTGGTGAATGAATAAAATGGAAGGATTTGTTTGCTGCTGTCAAAGAGAGGAAAGTTCCATTTCCTAAAATATGACTCAGTGTTCCATAAGTTTAATTCATGACATTAACCCTTATTCACAAGAATTCTCCATAAATAGTATGAAGGCCATTTACTCTGAAAGCCTTACCTATCTCTCAGCTCCTCTACAGTATGGTTAGGAGCCCATCATTTAAGGTCAGCAAGGAGTCATGACATGGTCCATTATACATCAGACTGAAAGGCCCAAAAGTAATATCTCCATGGCAGCTAAAGTAACTATTCTTCTTGGACAGCCGCATATCCCCAGGGAAGCAGATTTGAGGATGCCACCTTCAAAGGCAGCCAGCCTTGATTTAGGAATGTAACTCATTGAAATCTGGGCCACTCCCTGTACCTGGATTTTCAATATGGGCCCAACCCCTCCTGTCAAGAAAATAATGAAAGAAATGCCATTTTGTAATTAGGGAAGAGCAAGAAAATACAGTCAACAAAGATGGAGGGTCTTGAGGGAAGGCCCCATGCTTGGGTTTCCAAATCAATGAGAAAGTTTAGATCCAACACTTAGCAGGAGAGATAGTTGTCTGTCAGACATCAAGCCTGGCTTGCGAAGCTGTCAGTCACTGCTGTGAACCACAAAGTCACTGTGTAAACTGCTCAAGTCTCAGGAGGATGTCCACAAAATTGAAACTGAGACAAAGGAATGCCCGTGAGCCGAAAGAACATTGGAATTCTTCACAACACTGGTGGCTGGGACTCCAGAGCACATCAAGTTCTTCCTCTCCTGCTTCCCTCCTGTCTCCTCCTCCTCCTTCCTCTTGCTTTTCCTTCCTTCCCATTTTTATTTTTATTTTGTTGTCTCTTACCTCAACTTTGAGAAATTTACAAAAGTAAAGGAACCATATAAAGTAATACAGATCATACACTTATTAGGGAGAGTTTTCATTTGTCTAAAATCTAAACTTCTACAAAATCACATACATGGAGTTTTTTTCTCCTTTTATGAGAAAAAGACTAATATGTAGCCAATGTGATAGATTTAATTTTGAAAATAAATTAAGTCCAGGAGAAAATACAACTCAGTGTGAATTTAGTGTTTAACTATCTACCTGATTTTGCCTAATTCAGTAAGTCCTTTCTCAGCATCTAACATAGGAGATGCCTTTCTCTCCTTGCCTCTGCCCCAGACCAATTTCACTAGAGATTTCTTTCACTTCAACCTCCACTGGGACTACAGTACTAGGTGGAGTCATTCTACATTTCTATGGGACTGACCACTTCACCTCCATTTTCCTTCTACTCAGGTAAATGTAAATCTTCATACTTATCAGAGCTTCTACCTGATCACCATATGCAGCTCAAAACAGCCCTTCACCTTCTCCTTCACAGTGTAAACAGAATCATATGACAAGAACTCTCTCACCCCTCTACTTCCTAACTGTGATCATGATCATGAGATGAAAATGATAGTAGAATACCTGCCATTTCTGTCCCCTTATCAAAAAAGTATCCAGTGGATCACTCTTTCTTTCTTCAAATATTTAGCTTCTTTTTTACCACCAGTTGTTCTCTATCAGGAAATAAATATACCTCAGGCTTTTCCATGTTGAAAACAAACAAGCAGACAAACAAACCCTCTCATGCCTCAGATGGCCCTTCTAGTTCCCTCTTTTCTTCTATATCACACCCAGAACTTCCTTCCAAGTGGCATATTCAAAGATCCAACCACCTATAGGGCATCTCTACAAAGATGACTCACATGCATGTCAAATTGTCCCAATCAGACTTAATCATCTTCTCCTGCCTTCCTGTATGGAGTATAACGCAATGGCAAACTTAGCACCTGTTTCCAATCACATTTTGCCTCCTACATATGCCTCAGTCCAACTGCATATGTGCCACAGTTTGCATATAATTGTCCCTTGTCTACATTACTGTCACAAAATTCCAAATGATAGATGTGTTGCCAGAATGAGCTTCATTTTCTACATCATTTGAGTCAGACTCCTGAAAATACATAGAACATAAAGAATGGTAAAATGAGTACCCATATTCCTACCACCAAGGATCAATAGTGATGTTTCTAAAGCTAATATCTCACCATATTGTTTGTCTGCAATAATCAATAGGTCCTCTTCAGAATGTTTTTTCTTTTTTTAATGGTAGCAAAGATTCACATTTAGGTAGGAAAAATGGGCTATGTAGAGCAAGTTTGTGTCAAACAAAAGTAGGAAAAGGAAGAAAACAAATTTAAAAATATTGTACACACTACAGTATAGGATGGGTTAGTTGTATTATTTTCAAATACAACTGCATGGTTGACAGGACTTTCTAGGATTTGCCACTTCATCTCACCGTGCCTCCCAACTCGGCAATCTCAAACCCAGGTCTTACCAAGCTACTTGTTGTCCTCCCAAAATACCAAGTACCCTCTCCTGTGAAGCCTTTTCTACCTTTGAGGTAGAGGGTGGAAAGTGAGAGGAGTTGCCTAAGCACAGGACAGTGCAAAAACTACAATGGAAAGCACTTGGCTATCAGCCCAT